AGAGACCACAGAGGTGAGAGGCGAGTATTCTATTGCTATTCAACCCTTAATTTCCTTGGTTCTACCTTTCAACATTATCTCACTCATAACACATCTCCAGTCCCTCCTCTGCCCKTTTCTACCACAGGAAACCCACTTTGGAATACCAGTCCATGTAACAAAGTTTGCTTACATTCATCAGGTTGAAAATCAAGAAAGTTTCAGAGGTCCTTTGTCAAGGTAATCTTGAGATGCTTAGATTGACAGCACTGAGGTCCAAGTACTCCACTGTTTATGAGAAGGTATGTCAAGTTTCATTCCCTAGAGTATCATTTCTTTGTTTAACAGTCGTTCATGAGAAGACACATGAATATGGATACAACTCAAACAAAGATTCTTATTCTCAAAAAATGGCATGGAGTCCAAAATAAGAAAATATTATATCCAAGCTAAAAAGGTGTAATGATCAAAAGTTGAGATAAAACTTTTGCCAGTCTGAAGACAGAAAAATCAGTATCATATATTGACCTCAGYCAATCACAGCCCTTCATTTCCACAGTTGATAACATCAAAGTTTTTCTCCTCTCAGAARTCTATCCTTTCTTGCTTGCTTTTGATTGGTTAAGTTTGACTTCAGTTTGATTCCTTTGTTTTATGTCATAATTGGTTAACTTCCTTCATGTATTCCCAGTAAGTGTATCTGCACAGTAATGTACTTATTTTTGTCGTTGCTTTTTTACTAGCTCAAGTTGATGTCCACAGTTCACCAGACACAGCCTACAATACAACTTTTACTTGCAACGTCTGATTTTGTTGGGGCTCTGGATCTAATATCAACTACGCAAGAGGTGTTACAACAAGAACTGGCCGGTATACAGAGTTTTAGGTAGGATTGTGCTATCCTACATGTTAATTGGAAATCGGGGGGGGGGGGGGGGGGGGGGGTGCAGTGCCAGTGTACTTGTCATTTTCCTTTAATAGTCTCTTTCAAATTTCCCCAAGCCAACTTGAAAGGTAGCTGTGCCTTTCGAAGCAAGGTGAACTGTTGGCTTGCAATGATAAGACCTTTTTTAACGCCTTGGACAATTATCCATATTTCTCTATCATTGCAAGCTCACCATTTTTCTTGTGTTTGTTTCATGTTTGTCTCTGACATTTGTGTCATGCCAACTTGAAAGTTAGCCGTGCCTTTACATCAAAGCAAGGTGAACTGTGGGCTTCGAATGATAAAACCTTTTTTTAATGTCTTGGACAACTATTCATATTTCTCTATCATTGCAAGTTCACCATTTTTCTCATGTTTATCTCATTTTGTTGCAAAGGCTACTTTTCAAGATGGCGCAGAGAACTGCATGAAGTGGACTATTTTTCTTTGGTTCTACCATTTTACATTCATCCTCTTTTTGTACTC